CTACCTGCTGTGGGCTGACTGTTCCATAACACATCAGCAGTCACCTGCGTCAGAACCGTGAGCTGACGATGGGCGTTCCCTTTGGTCTGCACAGTGTTTTGTGGTCTTCAGATGTTGTCATCTTCTTCCACACTAAAATGCTCTAATCTCCTAGACATCAATGTTTAACTGCACCCCAGCATGACCTTTGGCCTGTGCTTAGCAGGCAGTTTTGAGGCCCTGGCTTATGAATGCACAAAAGCACAGCACATAAGCCAACACTTAAGTCCTAATTAGCAAGAATCAGGCTGTATCTCTGTAGTCCCTGCATCTGCTCTGGTCACCATCTCTGTGTGCTTAGGGCAGCCATGTGAACATTATTAATATAATTTTACACTCCAAGACAATAGTTATCATGTAAGCAGAAGTAGTAGCCTTGTTTGTTTCTTGTGCTGCTGCTCCCCTTGCTGCTGTACCATACACCCTCCTGATGAGGTGTACATCTATGGTGCCTCATGGTTCAGGCACTGCTGAGTAAAGAAAATGGGAAGAAATAGTTTGATATTAGCCCCTACCAAAGCATATGAAGAAGCATCTCAGCTGCTTTCATTGAAAAATTCCTGACCAGTGTGTGGGCTTTTCTTATAACTGCTGCTTATCAGCATGTCAAAAGTCTCATCTTTGAACTGCAAGTCTTGATGGCCTTAGTTATAGTGGCCTTACTGCATGTGGAGCTAACCCCAGGAAGATGGAGTGACACTCTCTGGAGGATAAGGTGGTCTCCTCCAATGTGGGTTGATGGGATTCTGAACTCTTTCCTTTAACCATGCAGAGAGTCTACACTGCCAGTGATCATGTGCCACAACTCTATAGATGTAGAAATTCAAAATATTCTGAAAAAGTTTCCATTGAAAGGAAATAGAAAAGCGGTCTGGTGCCACGCTCCGGTTAAGAGAACTAGTAGATGGCTCACAAGAACACTCTGTCGCTACTGTCTGTGCCTCTGTCTCAGCAAATATCCTGATCCTTCAGTTTTAAGGGTGCAGGCCCATTTTCCTCCCTTTCTTACTGGTAGTTCTCAAGATTACTGTATGAAATGCTGGGAAGGCAATATCCTGATAATCAAGTGACATTGTTCAGAACAGCCCAGGCTCTGTTATAGTCCCTGCTCGAAACAGAATGGCCTTTAATGCTTGTGTCCAGCAAACCACATCCTGGGAGCAAACTCAATGTGGGCTTCTTTCTGAGGTCCCTCAGTTGCAGTGCAAGTGAAGCATTTATAGTCAAAACTCCATCCATCTGCTCTGGGTAGCCTTCCTGATCTTGTGGTAGTGGTTCATATTGAATCCTAGACTTCTGTTGTCTTTTGTTTGCTATTTGTAAGTAATAAATTCACTTCCTGGAATTTATCTATGAATGTATTTGGCCTCATTGTACTCAGAAAAGTTGGTAGCCATTGCACAGTGAACCCGCTTCATAATTGGTGAAAACACCTATGGCCACCTTGTGCCACAGCAAGGAGGTTCATTCAGCCAAACATAAACTTCATGTTTATAAAACCCTGTAGCACAATTATTACCATGTGGGAGGCCTTTAACAATGGTGATGCTGATCTGAAAAACTCTGAAGGAAGAAATTTACCCAAATGGGTTGGGTACATAGGAATTCCTCCTAATTCCAAGAAACCCTTACTCCCATCCACCTAAAATGAGTGGAGAGGCCGGGTGCGGTGGCTCAGGCCTGTAATCCAAGCACTTTGGGAGGCCGAGGTGGGCCGATCACAAGGTCAGGGGTTCAAGACCAACCTGACTAACATGGGGAAGCTCCATCTCTACTAAAAATACAAAAATTAGCCAGGCGTGGTGGCAGGCACCTGTAATCCCAGCTACTCGGGAGGCTGAGGCAGGAGAATCGCTTGAACCTGGGAGGCGGAGGTTGCAGTGAGTCGAGACAATGCCACTGCACTCCAGCCTAGGTGACAGGGCAAGACTCCGTCTTGGGGGGGGAAAAAAGTGGATAAGAACTGAAACAGGTTTACAATTTCAACTAATTGGAAATGCAAGTTTACAAAAGTAATATTTAAAATAAAAGGTTAAATGAGTGCTCATTGAATTTTATGCCTCCACAAAATAGGTTGTGAGTTAACGTCCACATTTATTGAAAGCCACCAAAGTTGAGAAAATTCACAACCATTCCGTGTCTGAAATTCACATGTGGCTCAAATGAGAATTGTACCTGGGGATACCTCAAAATTTAAATATGGTATCCCCAATGATATTATGAGGAATTACTGTACATAAATCAGGTTGTCTTCCTTTAACTCTGAAAATCATATTATCTTGCCTAAATTCTCCATAACGCATTGCTCCGCAGTATCCTATAGTGGACATGGCTTTTCTGACCAATGAGCACTAAAATTAAGTGTGTGCGACTCACCTATGTTCTTATCAAAATGGAAATCCCTGAATCCCACCAGTTAGAATAACATGACAGCATGTCAGATTTATGGAATATATAAGTTTTCTGTAAGGTTATTAGGTATTGATTCCATTTTATTAGTAGATATCAATATATATAGATTACCTGTTTCTCCAGTGTTTTAGTATTAATAGATTGTGTCTTTTAATTCATCCAGTTGGTCTAAGTTACCAAGTTTGTGGGTTATGGAGATTGTAATATTCTTTATGATTTTATCATCCATGGGCTCTCTAATATAAAGGCTTCTTTTAATTCTTAAAGTATTAGGTTGGTGCAAAAGTCATTGTGGTTTTGGACCATGAATTTTAAATTTGTATAACTAGGCTGCAACGCATCTTTATTAATCAAAATAGAACCCATTACAATGGGCTGGGCACAGTGGCTCACGCCTGTAATCCCAGAACTTTGGGAGGCTGAGGCAGGCGGATCAGGAGATCAGGAGTTTGAGACCAGCCTGACCAACATGGTGAAATCCCGTCTCTACTAAAAAGACAAAAAGTAGCCGGGAGTGGTGGCATGTGCCTGTAATCCCAGCTACTCAAGAGGCTAAGGCAGGAGAATCTCTTGAACCCAGGAGGCAGAGGTTGCGGTGAGCCGAGATTACACCTTTGCACTCTGGCCTGGGTGACAGAGTGAGACTCTGTCAAAAAAAAAAAAAAAAGAAAGAAAGAAAAAGAAAGGAAACCATTACAATGAATACATTTTTGCCAATGAGAAATAAACTTGTTTATTCTGTGCTTTCAAGGTTGGATGAACTCTTGAAAAGCATTTTCTGCATCCTGCTGGTTGTGTAGTTGTTTTCCCTGCAAAAAGTTGTCAAGATGCTTAAAGAAGTGGTAGTTGGTTGGTCAGATGAATATGGCAGATGAGGCAAAACTTCATAGCCCAGTTTATTCAACTTTTGAAGCCCTGGTTGTGTGACATGTGGTCAGGCGTTGTGGAAATCTGGGCCCTTCCTGTTGACCAGTGCCGGCTCCAGGTGCTGCAGTTTTCCGTGCATCTCTTTGATTAGCTTGGCATACATCTCAGATGCAATAATTTCACCAAGATTCAAAAACTGTAGTGGATCAGAAGACCGGCAGCTGACCACCAAACAGTGACCATGACCTTTTATTGGTGCAAGTTTGACGTTGGGGAGTGGTTTGGAGCTTCTTCTCAGTCCAGCCACTGAGTTGGCTATTGTATGAAATCCACTTTTCGTGGCATGTCACAATCTAATTAAGAAATTGTTGATTGTTGTTTC